GTTGTACAAATGGACGAGCACCTATGTGCGCACGTGTGAGACGTGTCAACGGGTGAAATTGTGTTTAGCCTACCGAAAAATTCAGCTGGCAGCATGGGTGTCGTGGTATTCGTCGACCGGTTGAGCAAGATTTGGCGGCGGTGCCAGACACCACCGACGGATTCGGCACAGCAACGCTGTTCGTGGATCGTGTTTTCTGTAAACACGGACTCCCAGAGTCGATTGTCTCTGATAGAGACCCCCGTTTTACGGGAAATTTTTGGTCGACTATCTTTAAGGTGCTAGGCATCAATGTCGACAGCGGATCATTCGCAGACCGATGGTCAATCCGAAAGAGTGAATTGCATCATCGAAGACGTTCTTTGCAGCGTCTGCGCTGAGACGCCGAGGCGCTGGAGCACCATGTTGCCACTTGTAGTGTTTGCATTGAACAATGCAGTACATTAATCTCCCTGCTACACGCCGTTCTACGTGACCGGGATGATTCACCCTCGCGTCCTGCTAACGCCGCCATCCCATGGCTCAGGGCTTGGTGGGGGGGATAGCCGAACGGCTAGCTGATGTCAGCTCCCTCACCATCCGTAAAGAAGTCGATGGCTTCCTGTCTACCAGACTGAGTGTCCTACGACACGTTGGCGATGCGATGGCTGAAAGCCAAGACCTGCAAAAAGAATATGCAGATGAAAAAGAAAAAAAGTGGAAAGCTCTGAGGTCGGGGACCTGGTTTTATCAAATTCTGAAAGCCTGCCTACACATGTAGTCCCTGCTATCTTCAGAACGAAGCCTCGTCCACGGTTTATCGGGCGTTTAAAGGTTGTGGCCAAGCGGGGCCTAGCGTATATGCTAAACCTCCAAAAACGGATGCGCACCCATACGGTGTACGTGGGCTTGCTCAAGACGTACCAGGATCCGGCGCATGTGAACACGGAAGCGTTGGTGCCTGAGCGGATCCCACGGGCCCTCGGCCAGAAGATGAATTAGCAACTGGTTCTGAGCACGGAGTGCAACAACCTCCATTTCTAATGGCGCCAAGTGCTCCTATGTCGCATACAGCGACGCATTCGCCTGCTCCACGGCTAGGAGTCGCTCCGACAGAGCGCGGTAGTCCTCAAAGCGAGGCAGCCGGCGCACGACGTGCTCAGAATCGTCAAGAGCGTCCGCACAGCGATATGCTCCTTCAGCATGACGCTCAGCCGAGCTCCGAGCACACAGGACCTCAAGGGCTCGAAGAGCACCGCGAGTCACCCGACGGGGGTCGACCCGGTCGTCACTGCCCGCCACCGACTCTCCTCGGTGAGAACGGTGACGTCTACTATCACGTGGAACGTCTTGTGGGACGACGTCGTCACCAGGGTCAAACCGATTATCTGGTGAAGTGGCGGGAATATCCCGACTCCGAAAACTCGTGGGAGTTTGAGACGTCATTTCGGCAAGATTGCCCAGTCGCGGTGGACGATTTTGATCGGAAACATCAGGACGTCCCGCGTCATCACACGCCCCGCGTTTCCCGGCAATAACCAGGGAAGTAGAAGTACCATGAGCTGAGCTCAAGCAGTGGCACTAAGCTCTTGCGGTCGAAGGTACAGAGCTCGCGGGAGCATAAGGGGTTAACCAATACATTGCAGGGCGACAATCCGAAGGAAGTCGACAGCGTGCCTTGAGTCGGGCAAACTCAAATCAGAGGTGTCGCTCCACACGCACGTCCACTTCCTTGTGGCTCGACTGTAGGTTAAACAGTGAGAAAAGCTTCCGGTGC